AGAATGAATCCACTCTTTGTTATGAAGTATAAAAGGATTGATACTGATAAAAATAATTTCATTGAATTAGAAATGAAAATAGAAATAAAATGGAAACATTTTAACTGCACTGCAGAGAAAATCAATTAAGGAACCAACTCAGTTCCGATGGCTCCGTGGAATTGACTCTGGCGACGCTTAGTCAATGAAAATCTGTCAGTGTTGACACAAACTGTTTAAAGCATCAGTATTGATAAACATGCATAATAACATCCTGAGTGTCACAACAAGTGGGTGACAACCTGTGTACTCGAATTAGGAAAGGTCGTGACTGCTAGGACAGGTGGTGGCTGTAGCTTGACCCCAGCAGCTGGCTTTAAAGCCACATTTTTTCCACTCGTTCGTACTGCCTATAGGTTCTCGTAACTACACACTGGCTGTGCAGATATAATGCATTGCTTCATGAACAACCACTCAAAATAAGATAATCTACATTGCTTGTTTGGTGTCTGCTCCTCTCTTTTACTTGGCAGACATTTGATTGCTGGTTTTAAGCAGTGTGCCACACACCGTAGTCGTGGAGGCTGTCTGTGGGCAGGCGTCAAGGTAGAGCCTGAGGATGCGGCCTGGAAGACGGAGGGTCTGAGTTTAATCACAGCTCCGTCAGTTACAAACAGGGCCTTGGACAGGTAATCTGATCTTTCTTAGTTGGTTTTGTTGACAATTAAATCCCTACTTTCAAAAGTTATAGTTGAATAAAATAGTAAATATAAATGTGTGTGATGTGGTGCTTTGCACATACAAGCCACTAATTTCTAGCCAGAGCCGTGGTTCTTATGTGGAGGAGTCCAGACAGATGTTGAATAAAGAGCTTGGATCGTAGACTCCTAGAGCTGCCCTGGGTAAACAGACCTTAGAAGTCTCAGGTATCTTTGTGCCCTTCCCATGTGGAGCATTGAGGAGGAATGAGCCTAACATTCAGGAATATATTTGGTTTTACCTGAGCTCGTATTGACAGGTAGTTTTTAGTAAATCCTAACTCTTCCCCTATTCACCTATTTTAATTTCCCTTTGTCCACTGTTATCTGCCAGTCCAATAAAGCTGGTCTGTGAACCGTGACAGTGCAGTTGAGGACAACAGGCGCAGTCTCCCTGATGTGAGCAGATGGACGTCTTCCTCATGCACCTTCGGCTCTGCTAATTCTTCTTCGAGAAATGATGGCATGTCGGGACGTAAAACTTGGGGCCACTGCCTTCATTTAATTAGGCAAGATTGAATTTGCACATGCCTGTGCACAACAGATAATCGCTTCATGTAATTGAATGTTGGTTCTTGGTATGCCCTTTTCCCAATGAGGCAGCGTCTTGAAAGATCAAAAGATGATTTATTCCAGTACAGTATGTGCACAGGGGACTGAGTGTGTGCCATGTTGCATCTTCATTATAAATGTCACTCTGAGACCCAATTAACAGCCTGTTATTCTCTTTTATTAAAATCACTTTTAAAAAACTTAAGGCAGCAGGGTTTTTATGATATCACAGAGCAAGCAATGAAATCGGTTGTGTCCATGAGCCTCCTTCATTTCCCACATGTTCATTTCCTGTCAAAGTCAGGATCTGAGACTTAGTGATCCCCCACCTACCCTGCCACAGGAAGCTACCTCTCTGCCTTCAGAGCCCACCCTAGTGGAACCCTAAGCCCAGCCAGGGCACATGGCCCTCTTCTCTGCCGCAGACACCGAAGTTTCCACCATGTTGGGCAGGATCCTTTCCCTTGATGGCTGGGCTCTTAACTTGGGATCCATGTGGAGTTGGGGTTTGGGGGCCTGTGATTCCTATGAAATGATTTGTACACTACCCTAGGAAGAAGATCTTTTACCAGATATTTTTGTGTTCATGATCCAAAAAAGGTTAAGAAACAGATCTATTCTAGCTTTGCTCTGATCTTTTGAGACCAAAGAGTGTTGGAAGGAATTTGATCCTGGGAGTCAGGTGGATTTGGGTTTGAATTGTCTCCAATAAATTTTAGCTGTGTGGCCTTGGGCAGGCTATGAAACCTCTCTGAACCCCCATTTTCTCAAATGTAAAACAAGGGTAAGAATGCTAATTTAAGGTTGAAGTGACAGACTAGAGAAATAATAAGTGCTAATTTTCTTTTTTTCTCTTTCATCCCATGAATAAAATGAGACAAGTGTCTGTTCTGTCTTGTTCCTTGCTAGATCTTCCTGAGCACCCATCGTGGTGCCTTGCACACCATAGGCACTCAGATGTCGGCTGAATGGGTGGTCGGGTGGAGAGAGTGCCTTGTCTGGGGCCAGATGAAAGCTCTCAGTCTACACCTCAAAGCACTTATTTTCTAAGAGAGATCTTGGTGCTACAGTTGGTTTTGCTAAGACCCTCCCAGGACAGTTAGCCCGTGTCCTGTGCACAGTCTCTCTGGATGCTGTGACAAGATTAGATCTGCTTATCCTGTGCTGAAAATCGTGATCTGTGCTGGGCCTTTGTCTGTATCGGAGCTGGGCAAACCACAGCCTGTAGGCCAATTCTGGCCTGTTGCTTGTTTTTGTAAATAAAGTTTTATTGGAACATAGCCATGCTCATTGATTTACATATTATCTATGACTGCTTTTGTGCTATGGCAGACTTTAGTAGTTAGGACGGAGACCATATGGATTGCAAAGCCTAAAATATTTATTATCTGCCTCTTTATGGAAAAAGTTTGCCAACCCTGATATATGTTGCCTGTGCTCCTTACTATAACCCTGCAGGATTGGTCTTAAGATGCCTTTTTTATGGATTGGAAAGCTAAGACTCAACAGAGCTAAGTATCTTGGTTGCGATTGTACAACTTACAAATGCTTAGGGTTTGAGTCCGGGTCTGTGTGATGCCACAGCCTGTCTTCTTTCCACCCAGCACTGATACCTTTCATCTCAGCCAAAACCTAGCTGAACCGATGACATCTTCCAGTCCTGCCTGGTGACTGTGACCAGCTTAGGGAGCTGTTCATGATGTCCCCTGGGATTGTGGTGCAACCTGGTGGTCCTGGCATTTGTCCATGACCTGGCTCAGGTCTGTAGGATAAATCTGTGGATACGTCAGTAGGGGAGAGGGTGGAATGAGGATTTCGAGGACTACCACTGTGGATGGCAGGGCATGTGGGTGTGCCGCTGTTCCTGTGCAGACGTGATGCTGCTCCCCAGCGTCAGCAGGGTCAGCGTTTCCAGGAGCGTCCTTGTTTCTGCTGAGCATGGCACCACCCTCGCTTGCTGCCCTTGGAGGTGATGGGTAATACTTGTGTCTTTTCAGCACATTAGCCCCTCAACAGAGACTTTCCCTGCTCCAGGCTGTGAGACCACGAGAGTTTTGGACCTCCACATAGGCTCACTGGTACTGTGCCCTCGTTGGCAGGTCTGACTCCAAATTCTGGAGGGAAGTTCTTTCACAGTGAATTAATGCTGATGGAGCTTTGATTGTTTCAACGGTTTACAGATGAAGTTCTGATTCTTCTGTTAATATTCCATATGCCCATTATTCCTACTTCTCACTGGACTTTCACCCTTCCAGTTAGTTTTTCCAAACTTGTGAACTGGTTATGATTAAACAAAATTGGGAAAACCAGCTATTTCTGCTTTAATTGACTGCATAGCAGTGTTTGCCTTGTTACTGTGACAAGCTGACAATAATGATACAGTGACAAAACCATAGCCAAGTAACACAGTTGGGTAATTTATCCATCTGTCAAAGGATGTCTGGCTATAGTGTTTATCAGTTGTCATATAAAAGTGGGTATTGTAACTTTAGATAGTGAGGGGAGCGGTGAGAAGGACGAGGAAGGCGGATGTTCTTTCTGGTAGAGTCCGTTTTGTTGTGTCTTTGTAGCCAGCAGTGGGGAGTGTCTGTGACTCACTTCATCTGTCGTGAAGCTGCTGGTGGAGGAGTCCATGGAGGAGCTGCAGAGCTGCAGGGTGGACAGGCAAGAATCGACCTGTAATTAACTTTGTGTTTCACTGTTTAACAGTGACCCTTATTTCTCCAAAGACGAAATCCTGTAGTCTTACCCTGTGGCTTGCATACTCTCTGAAGTCAATGACTCTTCCAGTTCATGCTGAAAATATAAAACAGGTGAAAATGGGGCCGCTCTGGTTTAAGTGAGGGTGGAGGAACCTGCTAAAATTAAGCAACATTTCATTTGTTGTGCCAGTGGAACTCCATAGCGAAATAATGGGTTGATTAAAATTCTTGGTCTGTTGTTTAATTATTTAGAGTAAATGTTTCTAACAGAAAGAGATGTTTTTCTTTGTAGCCCTTTTGGTTTATCCCTAACATGTATTAATGCTCAATAGCTCTCCATGGATTTTTTTCTCTCCCATGACACCAGGTCCTTCTCATTGGTCAAAGCTACTGAAGGTTCATTTGTATTTCTATCTTGGAAACGTGTTTATTAAGAACCCATCACAAAATCCAGATATACCTCTTACTGGACACTAAAGAACAAGTTTAAAAATTGTAGGTGATTACTGAACACTTTGAGTTGGGAAGAAATTGACAAGTTAATAGAATTTCAGTCTATGTGTTGAGGCAGCATCGTGGTGGTGACACGGTCACTTCCTAGGAGAGGGAGAGGTGTGAGCAAGGCATAGATATCCATACACATGGTGCTTCCTGGAGTCCTTCGCCCCATGTGTCCTGGGGACCAGCAGTTCTATTAATTTGGGAAAGAGTGAGGCATATTCATGGACTGGGGAGGGTCCCACTGTGTGATAATTAGTGCGCAATTATTTGAGAGACTTGTGTTTGCTCTTCTTGTAGCCATACTAAGAAGGCAAGCGGCTGGCATGCTATCATTTCTGTACAGCGTTTTTGCTGTTTTTTTTTTTAAGTCCCTATGCATTTTCATGATTGTTTATAGCTTGCGTGTGTGTGTTTGGCAGAATTTGGGGGTGGGTGTACATAAGGCTTGTGTCACTTGACTGCTAGCTCTGCTGAGCTCACACCGTCTCCTTGTTTATGTATTTGCCAGGGAGAAGTGCCTGCTGCCTCTCCAGTTGGCTTTGGAATCCAAGAACGTGAAGCTGGCCCAACATGCCTTGGCAGGGATACAGGTATGGCTCTCACTGCGTGCCTGGGGCGGCAGAAACTGACAGGCCACAGGCATTGGACATGCTGGACAAAGGGATGATTCACATCCGGAGCGGGAGGGCGTGAGATTTCATCACACTGTTCAGAACGGTGTACGATCTAAAACTCATGAATTGTTTATTTATGGAATTTTCCATTTAATATCTTCGGACCACAGTTGACTGCAGGCAACTGAAACCTCGGAAAGTGAAACCACAGATAAGGGGGAACTACTGTACCTTTTAAGAGGTATTAAATATGAAAGAGTGAGAAAATTACAACTCTTTTTTCTCCAGTGGATTGGAATTAGATAATATGTGTGTTAATATGCAATAGCATCAGAAACTTTTAAACATTGTCAATAATATTATTAAAAACTTGGGGCCAGCCCGGTGGCGCAAGCGGTTAAGTGCACGCGCTCCGCTGCGGTGGCCCGGGGTTCGCCAGTTCGGATCCCGGGCGCGCACCGACGCACTGCTTGTCAAGCCATGCTGTGGTGGCATCCCATATAAAGTAGAGGAAGATGGGCACGGGTGTTAGCCCAGGGCCACTCTTCCTCAGCAAAAAGAGGAGGATTGGCAGATGTTAGCTCAGGGCCGATCTTCCTCACACACACACAAAAAAATTATTAAAAACTCTTTGCCTTTCTCCAAGGTAATTGGGCCAAACATAAAAATGCATGGGAGTTGGCTTTGAGCTGCCACTGTGTTCCCTGTTCTCTAGTATTGCACAGATTTTCCATTAGTTACTTTTTTAAAACCTCAAACACTCTAAGTTACAGTACCCTGTTTTCAAGGGCTTACTTGATCCTGTTAACGTCAATGACTGGTGGGCAGGGCGTCTTCCTCTTACCATCCCCCCATTGACTTCAGGCGCTCTTTTAGGGTTTCTGAGTCTTTATCACTTTCAGTACAGCAGGTTTGTGTATAAACTTTAACTCCGGGGTGCCCTGCAAGCACTATAGGATAGTGAAAAACCTCTCTGGGGAGAATATAGACGCAGCGTCAAGGAGGGTTTGAAATACTTGTTTTCCGTATCTGCAGTGGCATTCAGCTAAAGGAGGGATGAATCAGAATTCCAAAAGCTCTTCGTGTCTGCAACTCTATGCTGAATTGGACAAGGACAAATCTAACAGGGATAAATATAAAATCCTGCGCTGGGGTCTCAAAAACCAACTGTCCCAGGGCAGATGGGGAGGACAGCTTAACTGCAGCCCTTGTGAATGAGAGTTAGGGGTTTCAGGGGAAGTCAGAATACAGGGTGCTGTGACTTACAACTAAGCTCATTTGATCTGAGAATGTGGTTAAAGTTATGCATGACTGTTTTTTTGTTTTTAGGCAATAAACACATTTAGTTATCTTACATAACTGGAATTCTAGAGGTGGGCAATTCCAGGTTAACAGCAGCTCAGAGGTGCCGCCAAAGACCCCATTTCTTTCCCCTCTGCCATCTTTTTATTTTTTATTATTTTTTAAAGACTTTATCATTTTAGAGCAGCTTTAGGTTTACAATAAAATTGAGAGGAAGGTGTAGAGATTTCCCATATGTCCCCTACCCCAATACATGCAGAGCCTCCCCATCATCAACATCACTCACCAGAATGGTACTTTTTTTTTTTTTTACCAAGGATGAGCCTACATCGACACGTTATAATTGCCCACAGTCACCTCAGGGTACACTCTTGGTTGCTTGAGTCTTTGATATCAGACCACCTTGAAGTGTTACGTTCACTCTGGAGGCCACATGTTCAGCAGGAGAGCATCTGAAACCACGTCATGCCGAGAATATTTGAAGGCACCTGAGGAGGTTTAGTGTGGAGAAGGAAGGACGTAGGTGGACTTCAGATATTTTAGAAGCTTAATCCATGTGGCTCCAGGGAAGGATGAGGGAGGTGAAGTTGTAGGCAGGTGGGTTTTGGTATAGTCTAAGAAGGAATTTTATGAAAAATAAGAGTTGTCCTGAAATAGCAAAAGGCTGTGCTGGGAGGTGTAATGACCCCTGGGAACCTCAAGAAAGTGCGTGTCTTCTTATTTAGGTTTCTGTGGGATTTACTTTCTGATGACAGTACATTAAGATTTCTGGATTCATGAATAATATCTAGGTAAATGACAGCTCACAGTAGGAAGTAAAAAGGTAAATATCTGAAAAATGAACTTGTTGTCTACAAGACCTTCTCCTTTCCTGTGACAAAGCTGTGTTCAGAAAGGGTCTGTGTGAGTGTGACTGTTGGGGCCAGATCCCTGTGCCACATTCATCCTCTGTCCCCACCAACCAGATAGCCTATATGGCTGCCACATCAGAATCTCACTTGATGAAATTCAGAATGAATTGTCTAATAGCAGGAAAAAGTCTTTGCCAAAAACCATTTTCCAAAGGTTTGATGTGTTTTTCTTTTTAATGGCGCAGAGCGTGAGTTCTTTCCTAATGGCCTCAGCTACGTGTCTCCTAAGTAAGGAAAATTACCCTCAGTACATACTAAGAAACAGTGGAATAAGGCAGCCAGGGAAACCTGTCTCTGATCGCTGCCCTGTGCCTCCTACAGAAGCTCCTGTCAGAGGAGAGGTTCGTGTCCATGGAAACGGACTCCGATGAGAAGCAGCTGCTCAATCAGATCCTGAACGCTGTGAAGGTGACGCCTGCGCTCCACGAAGACCTGCAGGTGGAAGTCATGAAGGTCAGTTGACGTGGCTGCAGTTTGCGTCACTGGGACAGGAGCAGACTCTGACCCCCAGCCCTCACTGTTATCTCGAAAATGCCTCTGCATTGTGATTGTGCTAGCATACCCGTCATTTGGAATATATGGTTATTATCCTGGCATATGATCCCCCAAAATTACCTTGATTGTTGAACAGAAAAGACAACTAAGTAAAAAGGTATAATTTCAATACATCTGTAAGATTTAGGGCCTGATCCTGCATATCAAATGTTGCTAGGAAATGTTTTTATCACTTTTTGAGAGAATGTATGTGAGTAGTTCCAGCTTGGGGTAGATTTGATCATTCTGGGTATTCTGCCTGCCTGTATATGTCAAAACAAAGCAAAGACCTAATGATGTTTTGACAAATACTAAGGTTTTAGAATAGTCAGTTTAGGGAAAGGAAGACCATCCTTGGGAGCCCTATCAGAATCACATCTTTTTTTCATCTGCAAATTACGTGAACCTTATCTCCCGCATTCCAATTACCATCTCCCTTTTGGGGCGGTGTCTCTCCCTCCCCTTTCCCCTTTCCCACCTTAGAGAATCCCCATGATCAGGAACCTCTTGTGCTGACACTGGAGTGTGTTGTATCCCGTGAGTGAACAGTGAGCTGGGCAGAAAAGGATGGAAATCTTTGCCCCCAAACAGCACCTTGGTCAGAATAACACAGCTGGAACCAACAAGCTGGCTTTTAATAATGCCGCCTGTCCATTTCCTCCCTGGAGGAACATGTGTAGAGAAACGTTTAAGAATAGTTGGTGTCATATAATGGTTGATTCCTTCCTGGAAATGCACTGAAGGATTTTTGTCCTGGGTAAGAGACTTCACTTCTCTGGGTTGCATTTTCTCCATTCATGAGAGGAAAGGTCGACCTCAGTCGTGACACTTCTTCAAGCCCTGGGCCTCCCCCGTTCCCGGTTGGCGGGTGATTCAGCGTCGTGATTCAGAGCTCAGACCTGAAGCCAGCGTGTCTGGGTGTGAATACTTGCTCTCTTCCTGGTTGGATGTCCTTGGACAGATTCCTTGGCCACTCTGTGTCTTGGTCTCCTCGTCTCTAAAATGGGGGAAATAGTAGCACCTGCCCAGTAGGATTGTTGTGAGGAAGAGATAAGGTGATGTTTGTCAAGAACTTAGCACAGTGCCTGGCACAAAGCAAGTGCTATAGAAGTGTTATATGTTACTCCTCCTCCTCCTCCTGCTTCTGCCAGTACCACCTGCCGCTACTGAGCCATCATCTCAGGGGGTGGGTCTAGGAATATTCTCAGACACAGTAAACATCAAGAATCCCTGAGGTGGCTGCTCGTTAAGATCTCATTCGTCTTTAACTCTCCTTGATTCTGGATGTACGGTTTGCCTGATCCTTTGACATACATTTGGCAGCTGTGCTTTCATAGGAACCGAAGAGTAACCGTCTAGACTTGTTTACTTCCCCACCACCTCTGTGTCGCCGTTGAGGAGGAGACAAGGCCACCTGCCATGTTCATCGCTTTTCTGACTCCCAAGTCTAGTCTGTGAGTCCTTCTTCTCCTAGTAGGTCTCCACATGCTGGAGAGGGAGCTCTGGTGTCCCACTAAGAGACACACCTCACAGATTTCATATTATTGTGGAAATTCTCCCAGGAATACAGCTTTTTGTGGAATACAGGAATTTGCATTAAAAATTAAAATGAGAAAGTATCTATTCTTCTAGGAGCTATGGAAAGAAGGATGTTTAATGGTTATATCAACAATAACACCTGTTCTGAAAACTTACACTTGCTTTCTAATTCTGCGCGGCAGTGCCTTCTGCTCGCCTTGCTCAGGACAGGAGTTGGCACATGTTTGCTCTGCTGGAGATGCTGGAAGGCCTGTCTTAATGGACTTCCTGCTGACGCCACAGTGGACCATGGTCTTTGTAGTTAATGTCTGGGAGGAAATCAGACCTTGTCAGAAAGAGAAAAACAACAATCTGGGCTGCCATTCTTTACAGTTAGATTTCCAAAATGCTTAAAAAGATAAGGGCCTTTGCTACATGCTATCATTGTTAACTAAGCATTGGAATTGGGAACAAGCATTTCAATTCACAACAAACCTAGCCTAAGCTAATTTTTTTGTAGTATACTTTTAGTTTAGATGAACGTTTTTAGCCAAGCAGCTAGAAAATTAATGATGCAATCACTACTTTAGCATGATATTATTATTAGCATCAATTCAACTTCAGAGACGGTGGTCTGACTGTGATGGCACGAGTGAGGGCTCCGGGCTCATTTCCGATTTCTGAGGTTTAAGTTACTTCTTTGGTATAAAGTTAGCCAAATTATAGCATTTGTGGTTTAGAAATAATAAGTGTTACACCCTTTCTCTATGCGTGAGGAATTTCTGTACCAACTTCAGTCATCTTCAGAAGCCTGTTCAATTTTATCTGGTAATTCTGAAATACTGAAAATGACCCGGGCATAAATTCTTAGATATCTAAGTCCTTGTTTTGCTAATGTCATTACCACATTAAAATGCTTTTACCACTTGTTCTCCCAAAAATTATATGAAAAAAAAAGAGAGAGGGGGCCCACCCCAGGGGCATAGTGGTTAAGTTCTTGCTCTCTTCTTCGGCAGCCCAGAGTTCGTGGGTTCAGATCCCAGGCGCAGACCTACACACCGCTTATCAAGCCATACTGTGGCAGGTGTCCCACATATAAAATAGAGGAAGATGGGCACAGATGTTAGCTCAGGGCCAATCTTCCTCAGCAAAAAAAAGAAGAGAGAGAGAAAGAGAATTGGATGAGTCCTCAGGGGAAAGACTGGATTCCATTACATGTGAAGGTATATTAATTTATTCTTGGTGCTTCTCCATAACTCATTCTGATAATAAATTATCTAAGCCAGATATTTGCTGTAAAAATCCTCCAGTCATTTTATATAAATATTTTATTGGTACAGAAAATCTTTTAAAATGAGATATGGTAGGCATTTTCAAATACCAGTCTGAGTATACTATTCAGGAGAGATAAAGCCACACCATGCAGTTTTTATGTCTTTCCAACCGTAGCATAGTACATTTTTATAACAAATCCTAGGTGCTATTTTTAAAAAAGCTCTATCATGCATTTTACTTACATATTGCTATCTACTAGTGTTTATAAACACAAGAAATTGAACCATGTCACTCACACTCTTAAGATGTCTAGCGATTGTATTAAATTCCTGGAGAGAAAATAATATGCTTTCCTCGCTTAGAATTTCCTTAAGATTAAACAGGAGCTAACTAATAATGAAACCCAAGAGTCTAATGGTACTGTTCTCATTTAGAAAGAAGGCTCTAGACTTTCAATTGGAGGGTTAAAAAAAAAATCAGTGATACTTGCTTCTGACAGATTAGAGAGGAATGAAGTTGGATCACTTAGTTTAGAAACTGCTTTACATCTGTTTCACTATCTAACAGGAGGGGAGAAAAAGTAGGCTTGATTTATTGAAATGGCCATGGAGTCCAAATAAAAATTTTATAGCTTGAGCAAATAAAGTGTCAGATTGAAGAGAATCAGAAAGAAGGATTCTCTGAAGATACATTACCTTTGAAATGGATTAGCAGACGGCAGGGAGCTACTCAATATTTAGGTTAAATACCTGTCCGCTTGGTAACGTTGTCCCGTGCTGTGAGCCGTGCAGACTTAACAGGAGCCAGGTACATGACTAATGACATCTCTGACTAGAGCAATTAGGACTCTTTTTCCCCCTCCGTCTGGTGGATAACCTCTAGTGAAGTTATGAACCGGTATAGCTGGCTGAGTCTTCAAAGAGTGAAGGGGATTACTGGCCTTCTGCCTCTGTAAGTGTGTCAGAGATGAGAGCATTCTATCTGGGGAGGGCAGGCCGGCTTTGATGGGGAATGATATGATACCGGATGCTGAGAAAGCATCTGATGAGTATTCTCTTATCGGATGCCTTATTTTATGTGCATCTTTAGGTAGCAGATGTGAATATGAGTGGAGTACTTTACATTTTCAAGGGAGAAGTGACAAAGGCTAATTATTTAACCTGTATTATGCATCAGACACTCTGGTGAGTACTTTCCAATTGTACTCAGATCACACACCCAGTGAAGTGGCAGGCCCAGTGTTTGAACTGTGATTCAGCCTGGGGCCAAACCTGTGCTCTGAAGCAGAATGTCCTAAAAGACATGTAGGTGGTCGCCATTACTGTCCCCATTTTATAGATGGTTGAACAGAAGTCACAGGCTAGGAAGGGGCAAAGCTAGGAGGGGCTCAGAGTACGTATTCCTTCTCTGGTCCGTGAGCTAGATTCACATGTGAAGAAAGAATTCAGGTCTCTTCCCCACCAAATTACTAATGGCTCTGTGGTGTGTGTGTGTGTGTGTGTGTGTGTGTGTGTGTGTGTGTCAGATGGGTTGGGGGAAAGGAAAGAGAATATCATTTACTGTTGAGGTGTTTTTATGTTTTATAACAAAAGCCAAGCAAATGTTGTCAGAAAATACAAAGCTGAGTGACTCATGGAAGAAGAGTCTCCTCTCTGTGGGCTGGTGGACCTGAGCTTCGGGGAGCCCATCAGAACTCGGATCTTACGATGAGAAGGAGAGGGTGCTTTTGAATTCTGTGCCAGCGTGCAGTCAGCGCCTGGGTTGGGGAAAAAGAACAGGCCAAGTGGAAGGACTATTTTCAAATCCCCTCTCACTCATGCTTTAATGGCAGAGTCTCATTTGGGGCCATTTATCTAGATGGTTAGTTTTGATGTTCATAACTGTGCACTTGTCTTTCTGGAGTGGCTTCTGAAAGGAATGATCATTAGTGAAGTTTGAGGGGAAATGGATAAAAAGCCTTGCCTTCTCATAACAAGGTGAAATCCCTTCTTAGCCTTAAGCGCTGAGACACTTTAGACGATTTGCAGCAATCTCTAGCATTAAGGAAAAATCCAGTGTTCAATGAAAAATGTTTAATTTCTGAACCTACTTGTGGGAGGTTGATCTGATGTGCTTACAAGCATGTG